GTGCCTGATTTTTTTTTCTATCATCAGTAAGATTCTCGAGAAACTCTGAGGTGTATCGACTGAGATCGGTCACACTCATCTTGGAGCTGAGATTGTATTTTTCAACGATTTTAGTTGTGATAGCTGACATGATTAAATGTTATACTAGGTTAGGTAGTTTATAAACAGTGCTTTAGGTTATATACACTATAGAGATTCTTTTTTCAAATCGAAATTAATTATACTTTTTCTTCACTGATTTTAAACATCACAAAAATGGTTTTTGTAATAGAGTATTTTTTACAAGTATCAATTTTAAGCATTACAAAAACCCCTCCTGTGATATAATATAACTTTGAGATCACTGTAGAGTTAAATTTTTTCAATCACGTTTTTTAAGCGTCACAAAAATTCTCTTTGTAAGATATATTATAGGCCATTATTAAATAGATATATACATTAACAGATATCAAACATATCCTGATAGGACTGGGAAATATTTATTATAGGTCCCCACTACAACAACATTCGAATACTATTATAAATTTAGAAAATGTGATCGACTTTAAATAGATTCGAATGATTATAAAGTCATATAAAGTCATCGGCTTTGTATGATTCGCAAAAAAAATGGTCACCGCATATAAATAGATTCGTATATATAGGTTACTAAAAAAGGTACTCGTTATGGTCTGATTCGCATTATTATTAAATATCGATCTATTGATTTATAATCTTAGATCAATTTATTTTTATTGTATCTAACTTTTCGTAATTATTTAATGTTAATATTTCTAGCAATTTATTTAATTCGCAAGTAATCTTGTGATCTTATTTTTATAGTATTTGTTAAAAAGTGTCAACCCTCAAGAATAGAATAACTGTGGATAGTGCTACCAAATGGTATAGGCACAAAAAAGTGAAAAAAAAGCATTTGAATGATGCTTAAAATTTTTTAAAAAAATTTTTAGATAATTATAATGCAATAATATAGAAGCAGTATTTTTGAATTAAAAGCTATAAAGGTAATTTTTTTTAATTAATACTTATAATATTTTAACTCATTCTAATTATATTAACATAGATTTGAATATTTAATCTAAAAGTTTTTTTATACGCATATATTACTGTATCGAATAATATTTTTAGTCACAAAATAAGATTCTTATATAAGAAATTTCATTATATGTATATATAAGAAGAAACTATTCTAAATTGGGATTAGCATTAAAAGCATAAATTTTAAATATAAGCTGATGTAAAAAATTTTTTTTGATAATTTTTTTTTTTAAAAAAAATGTCTCTTCCTTATGATCAATGTCAAAATCGGTTTACTTCTTTTACTAATTTTCAAAAATTTATCAATACAAAAACCGTTCTTTGTAAATGTGGTGCAGTTATTTCACTTGGTAGTATTTATCAAATTTCTAATTTTCAAAGACATTCTCAAAGTAGTAAATATACATATCGTACAAATAATCAACCAAGTATAAAGGCCTTTTTTTCAAAAAGTGAATCAGAAAATACCAATAATAATGAAAAAAATGAGACAAATAGCAAATGATGTATTGTTATATGTTAAGGTTTTAATGATCTAGATTATGTTAATTATATTATAAGTAGTCCAGCTAGTTTCGGTGGTGATAAAAGACCTGAAATTATAGTAAAAGAACTTTTTCCAGAAAAATTTTCAGAAAATACTTCTTTTACTAGAAAAAAACTTAGTAACAAAGAACAAAAAGAATTTGAAAGAGCGTTAGAATCTGAAGCAACTTGGCGTTTGGATAAAGAAATTTTGTCAGTATACCATATGCAATGTGAAAAAAAAACAAGTAATGAAGATGCTATATGTAATAAGTGTAAAAAATTAAGATTTAAATGAAGCACTTAAAGTTGTAAGTTTAATACAAATTTGATTTATTAAATTTTTTAATAGAACTTTTAAAAACTAAAATATTTATTATTTAAGAAACGGCCAACAAGTAGCACTGTCAAATTTACTCCTCATCATTATTATAATGAACCATTATTAAAACTTCTTAAGAATCCGAATTTAAGACAAATTTGGACTTCTACAAATAATAATAGTGATGAAGAATTTTGGATTAAATTAGCTCAATTTGGTTTAAGTGGAGCATTTAATGGAGATAGTACTTTTACTGAACTCGTAGCTTTAATGGTACAAATTAAAGAAAAAAAATATCAGGGTAAAAGCTTAAAAAGGCTTCGATATTCTGAACATTTAATCCATTTTTTTAGTTTGTTATCTGAAAGTAGTCGTGAATATGAAATTTTTAGAAAAGCTTTTGCTGGACTTTCAATTCAAAGAATTCGGTAATTATTATTTATTTATTTAAATAATTTATACAATTAATATACAAATTAGTAATTATTAATTTTTTAAAAATAGACGAATTCGTCGAACTGATTCTATTATAATTATGAATCCAGATTTAGTATTAGAAAATTTTATAAAATTCTCACAAGTTGTATCAAGTATTAATTAGAATAGACCGATTGTAGTTATGACAGATTCTACTAAATTGCGACCAAAACTTGTATATTCTGGAGAACTTAATTATATTTCTGGATCAATTTTACCACATTCAATTACAAGTATTGAAACCCTTGAAGATATACATCTTAAAATTAATTATATTTTAAAAAATAATGCAGTTGCTACACAAGTTCGTGGTATAGCATTAAAGGTTAGTAGCTATTAAAATAAATATAATAGAGATTATATTCATGAAGAAATTTTCTACTCAGATATTATTAAATTACCCAGTTATTTGGGTAATTTATTATAGTTATATAATAGAAATAACTATCTGAGTACGATCTTTAAAATATAGCATTTAATAAAATTAATTAATTATACTGTATTTTTATTTAAATTTCTATTGGAAAAATTCCACCTATAATGATAGCAATGCTTCCTTCGAAGAGTAATGAGGATGCTGAACAAATTGTATACTTAATACATCAAGTAATTGAATTGTCACATTTAGCGAATTTAAATATTTTAAGTTTTGGAGCTGATGGTGCTAGATCTGAGTTTAATGCTCAATCAATTATTACAAATGAAGCTTCAAATTTTCTTGAATATAAAGATGCTTTTTATAAAATTTATTTTAAAGCACCATTATATAATAATAAACCATTTATTCGAATTCAAGATCCAAAACATGCCAAAAAAACAGCTAGAAATCAAATATTTTCGGAAGCAAAACTTTTATCACTTGGACTTAGCAATGTACGTTATGATCAACTTTTTAAATTAGCACATCAGCTACAGCATTTTCTTTTAAAATGTGATGTACTTAATGTTGACAAGCAAGATGATGGTGCTGCATTACGTACTTTTCATTCAAATAATTTAAGCCAAATTCTGGTTAATGATACTTTATCTGATGAATTAGCTGGGCTTTTTATATATTTATTTATATTAGGTAACTATTTAATTTTTTTTATTTTTAAATAATATATAATTTATTTATACTTTTATTTTTTAGGCGAATTGTGTATAGTGTTTGGATCCGGTTTATGAAATCCGGATATATCTGAATACAAAAAGAATAACGGATACCTTTTTTGTAAAGAGAATAATAAAACCAGATTTTAATTTTAAACCATTGCAAATCCGATTTTTATTCGGATAAAGTAATAATATAAATGCGTAAATTAAATTAACAACTGATGAGAACATGCAATATATGCGTGTATACATACTTGGTCAAATATTAAGCATACGTATTTACTTCAAATTCAAGCCTCAATGCTAATATTCCTGACTTTAGTAAAATAACACCCCGATATATAAGTACATTACAATTTTGGGCTAAAGCGAACCTTTTCCCAAAGTGTTTAGACTATATTATGCTTATCAATAAGATTAATAAATAATTTGATAACCATTAAAAACCAATTTCATTTTGTACGATATCATTAATGTTAAACCTATACATTTTCAAATTGTTTAAACCCATTACACTTATCGATAAAATTAATTATAATAAATGATTTTACCATCATAATCAATTTCATTTTGTACTATAATGTTAAATCTGTATTACTTCTCCTGCCTGTAGATTTTCATATGCAACGAAAATATTACCCGATCTTTGAGAAAAGTCTACTGCATTAGAATTCAATCGTATGCATTTAACTATTTTTCAAAAACTTTTAAACCAATGAAAATATAATTTATCAAGAGAAAATCAACTGTCATGCGAATAAATCCAAATAAAAGCTTGAATAAATTAATAATTTTTAGTTTTTTTTCATTTTTTTTTTATTAATGCAATAAGTAGCAAAGCTACAAAAACTTCTGTTACTTAAAATCTACAATGAAAAAGATGAAAATACTTATCTGTGCACCGCTTATATTATATATTGCTGTATACTCTTATAAGATCCCATGCTTGAGATCCGGTATTTTCATTATTATACAGTCTAAATTTTAAACTAATACCTGGGGTATAACTGTGCTCCTATACTTTTTGAATAATAGATCGATATCACTCAAATATTATCTTGAATAAAACCTCGGGTAATTTATATAGCAGTAAACGATATATTTAAAAGTCTTAAAATGTGATTGTGAGCAAAGTTATAAACTTTTCATATCCAAAAACCTAAAAATATCATATGAAATAATAAAATATCAAAAATGCAGATTAACTAAATATGCATAAAAAAGAAGGAAAGACATAATGAAATACTTATATAAAGATTTTTGAAAGCCACTGAATTTATTTCACGCATGAAAATTGATGATTTAAACAAAGAATATCCAAAAGCTAATGAAATTGTATAAAAAAAATTTAAAAATAAAATGGCACAATAGGAATCTTATAAAAATTCCTAATCACATATATTTATAAGGAAAAATTAAAAATAAATTTTTTTTTGAAAATCGCAAAATAGATTAGATTTTTTTTTCTTTTTTGAAAAATCGCAAAAAATAGTTTAGATTTTTTTGTTTATAAATCTTTATAAAAGGCTCTTCTAATAAATTTTTTCACAACTAAAAGCCCAAAACAAATTAATACTAGAAAAAAAACTTTCAAATACCTACTAACCCATACAAATAAAATGTCAAATATCAAAAAATGAAAAAACAATCCCCAAAATGATTTCAATTTGGCTGATGTCAATTCGGATTCAGATAATGATATTAACACTACTAGTGATGAAATATTAAGTGATGGTAACATTAGCACAAGCTCTAATAGTGATGTAGAAAACATTAGTAATAAGTTAAGTACTAAAACAAAATCATGAAAAAATGCTAGTTGGGTTTGGCAACACTTCCACAAAAGGCGTCCTTTACGAAAATGAAAAAGGTATACAAATTGTATCATAATTGTAAAAGATAAAAAATCTCAAAATGGTCAACGGGAATGCGGGCAGCTAGTTAAGACTCAGGGTTCAACCAGAAACTTCCAATCACATCTAAACATACATGGAATTACTAAGCCTACTGAAAAAAATAATACTGCTATACAACCAACAGTTGATGAAATGTTTCAACAAGCTGCCAGACAAAATTCTCATCAAAAAGAATCTATTGAACGGGCTTTGGTTGAATGGATTATTATAAATTCACAGCCTTTTCATATTCTACAAAGTGAAAGTTTTATTAAACTTATTAATACATTAAATCCATATTATGAATTGCCTTCTAATAAACAAATCAAGGCACGAATTCATCAAAGCTACAATTATTCAGTAGATCGACTTAAAACACTCTTCATAAAAGAACTTAAAACTTGTAGCTTGACATGTGATTTGTGGACTGCTCGCTTTAAGAGCGGATATATCAGAATTACATGTCACTTCATTGATTCTAACTATAAATTAAAAGAAATTATACTTGCAGTTAAATATATTCCATATCCCCATGATGCTATAATGATTCAAAATGAATTAGAAAATGTAATTAATAATTGGAAACTTTCTGGAAAGGTGGTTTCAGTTACGACTAATAATGCCACCAATATGGTTAAAGCCATTGGTCTTATAAATATAGATCGAATTCTCTGTACTGCCCACATGCTTCAACTTGCTATAGGAAAAGGATTAAAACCTGCAGCAACTTTAATAACACGTACAAAGCGGTTAATAAAATTTTTAACTACTCCTAAACAAAACGAACAACTAAAAAAAGCACAAGAAATGCTAAAGATTTCAAAAGGCAAGATTGGTGATGATGAAAAATCATATCTTGGTGCAATTTCTGATACACCAACACGTTAGAATTCATCATATATCGCATGGAAACGGCTTCTTCAAATTAAGTGTGCTGTTAAGTTAATAGAAGCTACTATGAGTGCTGATTCTGACTTTAATATTCGCAAAGACGCAAATCGATTAAGGTCTATGATAATCACTGAAGATGAATGGATTGTTCTTGAAGAATTAACTGCACTTTTAGCACCTTTTGCTAAAATTACAGAATTATTGAGAGGTAGTACTTATGCTACTATTAGCTTCATGTGGCCAGCTATTATTACTCTTACTAGAAATTGTGCTCTGTTAGTAACTAGTACAAATTTGGAAAAAATCGACTATACAGATATGTCAACTGTATTTGATGAGGAAGAAGAAGATATAATTGATTTGGATGATGAATCTGAAACAATCACTACTGCTAATAGCAATAAGTTTAAACTTAATCTACCACAGAATACTGATGGTTTAATAGAAAAAGTTAAAGAGAAATTGTACATGGCATTGAATGATTACTGAGACACACCAATTGATAGCTCATTAATCGCGATATTACTTGATCCTCGGTGTAAGTCAATGAAGCAGTTAGATGGTTGGAAGCGTGATAGAGCAGTTAGTCTTTTGCAAGAGAAATATAATTCACTTAATACTGAAAATGAACTAGTTACAAGCTTACCAAATGAAGAACAAAATGAAGGTCAGATGAAACTTTTTTCAATAATGTTCAGATCAGATGAAAGATCAACACTGGTTAAAAATGAAGTAGATCAATATCTCAAAATTGATCAAATATTAACCAAAACTGATCTACTTAACTGGTGGAAAGATATCCAAGAAGAGCTTCCAATTTTCGCTAGTTTAGCACATAGATATTTAGCTATTCCTGCAACCTCGACACCCAGCGAACGTCTATTCTCAAATGCGGGTAACTTAATGACGGCCAAACGTACACTAATTAATGCTGACTTGTTTGAAAGGATTCTTTTTCTTCAAAGAAATATTGGAAGTTTGGATACTATCTTTGAGCGTAAAAATTAAAATTAAATTAGCAGTTTGTTTTTTTACATAACTATAAATATGATAATCAATGTAGCTTATTTTAGGTCCTTCAGATTCACTATATGTGAAAGATATTTTAAATAAATTGTATATAACTGTTATTAAATGCAAGCGAACTATAAATTCCAATTATACATTTAATAATA